AAGGCATGGAGCCAAGCTCAGTGTCACTCGAAAATCCATGGGGAAAGACTGTCTCTTGAAAGTTGGTGGAGATTGAATGCTGTCAGTGTGCAGCGGGACGGCTCTCTGGACAGTGAGGGTAGCCATGGAGACATGACGCCTGGCAGTGACGTTCCTGGTCCAAGTTAGAGAGAGAGCGGAAGTTGTGAGCCATGCTGTAAAGAGTTTTACCATGTCCTGTAGTGCAGCACGTGACAGGGACGAAGAAATATACAGTGGACGATTAAGAGTAGAAAGGCAATGGCATGCGGCAGACGACCTTATAGCCGACATTGCTGGTGATGGTGGGAAGCAAGTGGAGGGAGCGGAGGGCAGCTACTGGGCACGTGTGAAAAAAGAGCTTCATAGCTCATAGAATTCCTCCGGTCCAAATAAAGATTCTGATTCTGAGGCGAGGGAATCTTGCCGAGCATGGCAGGCGCCAAGGATGATGCAGGTGAGATGGTTTTGCAACCGTTGGAGTTTCTCAAGGTTACCTGATGAAGATTGGAAAGGATGGCGTTGCAATAGTCGGGGCAAGACCCAACGAAGCTGAAGGCGAGGAATCTTCTTGGTTCTTTCGGTAAAGTCACGTAGAAGGGAAGTAATAAAATAATAAAAAGAAAAAATAATAAAACAATTCTCACGACGTTTCGGCCACAACGCAAGCAGCCGTCCTCAGGTGAAGAATGAGACAATGCCAAGCTAGGAGCTTATATATAAGCTGCGTTGGAGGTGGAAGAAAGAGCGCCTTAACAAAAGAATGTGCATATGAAGAGGAATTTAGCATATACATGGAAAATGCGTAGGAGGTGGGCGGGGGGGTTTCAAAGTCATATTATGCCCATGCATTATGCAGGATCAACAGCACCAAGGGGGGGTGCAGGGATTAGCAGTAACAAAGGAAAGGAATGTTAATGATATGTAGCTGCAGTTACTCAACAACCACGTAGAAAACTAAAGTATAAACTACATAAAAAACTAAAGTATAAATTGCATAGCACCATCAGTATACTTACTATACTCTACACTAAGCTGAGTTACTAACAGCAAGTAATACATTACAATTCTACGTCGTAAAAATTATATAATATGCTTCCATCTAAACTTTATTCTATTGTATCACACGAGCATATACCGTACTATATACTGCCAACATTAAATTATTACAGCAATACAGTATATAATTTAATTTTGGCAGTATATAGTACGGTATATGCTCGTGTGATACAATAGAATAAAGTTTAGATGGAAGCATATTATATAATTTTTACGACGTAGAATTGTAATGTATTACTTGCTGTTAGTAACTCAGCTTAGTGTAGAGTATAGTAAGTATACTGATGGTGCTATGCAATTTATACTTTAGTTTTTTATGTAGTTTATACTTTAGTTTTCTACGTGGTTGTTGAGTAACTGCAGCTACATATCATTAACATTCCTTTCCTTTGTTACTGCTAATCCCTGCACCCCCCCTTGGTGCTGTTGATCCTGCATAATGCATGGGCATAATATGACTTTGAAACCCCCCCGCCCACCTCCTACGCATTTTCCATGTATATGCTAAATTCCTCTTCATATGCACATTCTTTTGTTAAGGCGCTCTTTCTTCCACCTCCAACGCAGCTTATATATAAGCTCCTAGCTTGGCATTGTCTCATTCTTCACCTGAGGACGGCTGCTTGCGTTGTGGCCGAAACGTCGTGAGAATTGTTATTATTTTTTATTTTTATTATTTTATTACTTCCCTTCTACGTGACTTTACCGAAAGAACCAAGAAGATGAATCCCTGCAGTCACGAAAGCTTTAAATCGAAAAATGAAGGCGAGGAAGTTGGTGATTTCTGTGGAGATGAGAGTGGACGTAATTGATGGAGGGCCCTGAGGTGGCAGTCGCAAGATCTGATGATGTGGTTGGTGTGGCCGTTGAAGAGGAAGGTGGAGTCAAGAGTGATGTTGAGGAACTTGACATTAGTAAGAAAAATGTGGAGTAGAGCCACCAATTAGCATGCTAGAATGGAACATGGGTGTGGTGTTCTTCGTCGTTTCTCCTGTCCAACCTATATAGTCTTTGCCCAATAATCTGCACAGGCCACCGCTTCTGGTGTTGGCATTGCCAAATCTTGAGGAGTGTATTGTGGTGCTGCAGGGCATATCAGGAGATGATCCATGGTTTGCTTCTCCTGACAAGTGCATTGGTCGGTTGCGCAGAAGTCCAAGGATTTAATGAGAGAGTTGCATTTGCCGAAACCCACTCTCAGTCTGTTTAGGCTCCGCCATGTGAGCCATTTGGAATTGGAGCCAGATGCGAGCTCCTCACTGGGGATGATTCCTCGCCGGCTCCATTCAGCAGTTTTGCCACTCGATTTTTCCAATTCTTATTGCCAGAGGGAAGTTATAACAGATTCCGGTGATGTGGTCAGTGGTACAGTGGAGCACAATAAGCTGTTTTTCGATGACAGACGATGGTGTGCTGGCTGATGGCCATGTAGCAGATGACGGACGTCCCCACTCTATGACTTGCCGGTCGTGGTCACCTGCTACCCTTCTCATGATGTTAGGGGGTGTGGTGAGACACTGTCTGGTGCCGATCAGGATAACTTCAGATTTTTGATGCATTTAAGGAGAGATTTTTGGGCCTAGAACCACCGCTGCAAGGTGACGGTGAGCTCCAAGAGCCTCTCGAGTCCAGAGACATTGGTGGAATCAACAGAACTGCAGGGTTAGGGTGTCATTTGTGCAAGAATGGTATTCGACACCAAAGCTCTCAACGAGGTGGGCAATAGAAGGCGTGTGAGCTGCAAACAGCAGGGGGCTGTTGACAGAACCCTGAGGGACTTTGCAGGAGAGACTTGTTTCTGTGGATGAAGACTTCCCCCACTCTGACCAAGAAACTACTGTCTGAGAGGTAGGATGTCATCCATTTTAGGGCTGGGCCACTGATACCAAAGTCAGATTCCAGGGGGGCAATGAAGAGAGAATGGTCAATGGTGTAGAAGGCTTCAGAGATGACAAGGCCAATGTGTGCAACGACTGAACCGGAGTCCACAATGGAAAAATGTTATCCATTGTCAGTGCATTCTTAGTGGACTAGATCTGAGGGAAGGCTGACAGGAAGGAGCAAGAGTTTGGAGAGGAGGTAGTATAGGCCTTGAGCTAGTTGAGGGTAAAGCATTCCAGGAGCTTGGAGAGGGTGGAGAGGTTGGCTTGTTATGGGTTATTAGCTTGCCGGGTCATTAGGTTTGAGGCCTGGTTGCTTGAGCAGTGGGGTGACTTGACCACTTTTAGAGCAAGATGGGAAAATGCCCGACTGCAAAAAAGACATTGGTAGTATTGGAGATAATTATGAAGAGTTCTGTAGCACACTTCGCGCAGGGAACAGGGGAGGATATCCAGAGGAGATGACTTGATGCGACGTGCATGGATTAGGATGAAGACATTTTTTGGGAAGTGCAAATGAAAAGAAGGGCAGGGATGTAGTCGGAGTTGGGGTTGCAGGTTGGGGGGGGGGCATAAGAGGGGTGTGAGTGAAGTTTGAGGGATGCATTGATGGTTTCGGTGATGGTGGAACGTTTATTGGTGAAGTGTGTGCTGAAGGAGGTTGTGAGCTTCAATAATGCTTGTGGGCTGTTGTTACTGGGGGTCAAGCTGCTGCTGCCGCGATAGAAGAGGTCTTTGAGGGCTTTCCAAAGGTCGCAAGGGTTTCCTGAGGCAGTTTGGATGCGACCTTCGATGTAGGAGGTGCGTGATGTAAGAATTAACTTTTTGTATCTTGTAAGCCGCTCTGTGTGGGGGACATCATGGTTGAAAAAAAGTTACGATGTTTAGTATTGGCGCTAATTCCCGAGCCAGTGCTGCAAATTCCACATTCCTATGCCATGGGAAATCCTTTTCATAAGACAATTACTTCCCACAAAGTGGCACTCATTCCTTGACTCTGAAAATATTAAGAAGGATTCGACCCCATTTGCTGGCCTAAAACTCTAACCACTGTACTACCTGGTGAAATATACACATAATTTTACCAACAATGGTTATTTTATACCCCTCCTCTTCCTGAACATATCTTTGGTGGTTTCATAAATTGTGTTCTCTGCCCTCTAACCTTCGCTCGCATTTTCAATGCACTGTCCATGGATATACCACAGTCGTTATCGCTGGCATATGCTGGCTGTGACGTGGGAAATGCATAATGGGTGACTGATGATTGTTTAAAGTGCTGACATCCATTGAATAATTTTGCTCCTCTGTGCATTCGTATCTATTGCTTAGACCTAGTCTTCATTTATATACTTGCTCATCTTTAAGTGGATGTGAACCGTCTTGTTTTGCCTGTAATGAGCTTCTCACTCTTTTTTGACGACGTCAAAGTGCCAATTGCATTGCACTATCCTGCGAGTTGTAGAACCTTGAACCCACCATAGGAATGAGGTATTTTCACGATTGGCTCACGACTACCAATTGATATAAGCACGGCCCAATATTCGATGGAGCATTAGGAACACTCACATTTTTTCTTTAATTACATAACGTCCATTATGTGTGTATTCTCTTTTTGCTGCATGTGTGTGTATAGCTCTGACCGAGTGGTGAAAATTCTACATCTCATACTTATTCACAGATGGCAATACATTCATGGCTGCCTACAATAACATTATGAGGACACACATGAGAGCACAATTAAAATTCAGAATGCCGGAGGGCTGCTACAGTTGATGATTGTGAAGTCAAATTCTGGTCCAGGCTTCACCATTACTTCAATGGGTTTGATAGCATTATCGCTATTGTGTGGGAAGTGAACAATGGTCGACCTTTGTAGTGATTGATCCTGTTATGGACATGCCGAGTTTCCACTACTGGCTAAGAGCAGCCACTGGAAATAAGTATACACCCCGTGGTGTATTTGAGCAGTAACACACAGACATTTTGAACTAAACTACGCGTATTCGATGTGAAGCACTATCACGCATTCTTTGTCAACAGAATCACCACCACAGTGGCCTGCAACATGGATCTTACCAAGTATCCCATGGACAAGCAGACCTGCACCCTGCAACTGGAGAGCTGTGAGTTGTTGCATGAAAGAGTTCAGAGCTTTTTTTTAATGTCCAGGCTTATTCACATTCAGAGGGCCCAGTCAGTGGTGCAACATTTGCGCTGGTGGCAACGAATTGAACGGGGGACCCAAACGTGCCCCGTCACTGTCCACTCTCGCCTCACATATCCACGTGATTAAGGGCACGTTTCACGATGCGCGCGTGTATCCCAGTGGCGTTGCCCCCCCCCCCCCCCCGAGGCGTCTTTGGTGTCTGTCACCTGATCAGTGTCAGGTGCACACCGCACTCATCACAGCCACCCGACTGCACAACTTGACATTGCTGTCCCCTCCCGAGTGCCAACAATCTGCCCACCACCCGTTTGAGACAATTGGATTCGTTTCCGACGCCTCCAGCTGGCACTGCCAACCCCCCCAAGCAGCCAACTGCAAGCAGTCGCTGCCCCCCACCTCCCACGTATTCACAGCCTGGCACCTGGGGTTCCTGCGGCCCTTGTGGACCCTCTGCGGTGCAACTGCACCGCCTGCACACTCAGTATAGCTGCGACGCCGATGACTCACCACAAACAGGTTGAATTAAACTGGAACGTTCGATTCGTTGTCTTTGTCCTGACAGAACATACAATTCCTCACACTCTGAAAATACAATTCCTCACACTCTGAAAATATTAACAGCCCTGGAGTTCTGTATAGAATTCTACAATCACCGATGACTCCTGTACTGTACTTCAGTGAGACTTACTTTATCTCCATTAAATATAAAAAATGTACCCAAATCCGTATACTGATTGATGCTGTAAAAATATCACAAGCCCACTCCTTTTCAACGTTCCCAGTATATTGAAGACTGTTTTCTGACAAACGCAAGCATGCTCGAACGCCACTTCACCAAATTGTCCAGATCTTCGTCTCATGGTTTTCGGTAACACAAGCATGCTATTCTTTACAATTAACCTGTTATTCATTCCAGAGGTCACTGACTAAAACAGCAAATGTGTAGAGAGTAAATACAGTCCATATGGGAAACACGAAAATGATACACAATATGACCCCATCCAAATATGAGTGTATCACCAGCTGCGAAAAACTGTCATGTAATTAACATTGATAGGTTAAAGGTTTAAATATAATGTACAGCCCTTTGTTAGTTCACCTAATGTATGAAGGCCTCATGCCCTATTAGTTGTTTGACCATAAGGTGCTTACACTGCTCAGTGTGGGTTGGCCCAGAGTAGTTGTGCGTGGTTATTCATCCACGACTGCCATTTGTAAATCCACTGGCTGCAGAATAGAGACCTCCCTCGCCACGACATTTTTGAACATGAGTTTTGCTAGATCATACTTCACCGTACTGGTCACTGAAGTACGGTTTAGCTGTCACTCGCAAACTAATGGTGGTGGTCAGCAATCAAACTCAGGTGGCCAGGTTCAGAGTACCAACACTCCACCCCACTTTCATTCGGCAAATAAATAAAGACAAATGAATTACAGTGGGGGTAGTTTACGCAGTTTAAGGCTTTGAGGTGTAATTCCAAATGAAAGTCAACCTGAGATGGCTGTAAATGAGTGTGACATTAATGATCTCGGCTGTATCACTTGTGTTGTTGAGCGAACCACCGTCTTAATATGGGGCAGCTGAAAGGTAATTTTGAGACATGCTCATACATCTGACGGTGAACGATGATGATGATGACGACGACGACGATGATGACGATGCTGATCTCTGATGAGTGTGTGGTATTGTTAGGGGGATACAATACGAACGATCTGGTGTTCTACTGGACACGCGGAAACGACTCTGTGCGGGGACTCGACACACTCAAACTTGCCCAGTACACGGTGGAAGGGTACTACACCTCTGTTTCTGAGGCCGTCTATGAAACCGGTGAGAAATATATTTGTCTACGTAAATGCTTTGTTTTGTTTTTGAAGGTTCTGTGGCAGTGGTGCATCAGCACAAATGACAACTATTGATGACGATTCAGGCAATGGCCCTTTTTCATAGAACTTGGGGAAGGGGCATTTTCACAAACATCATCGACTATATATATTTATTCCTTTTTAGGCATTGCTATTTGATGAATGCGTTGAGTTTTTGTTCCAAGAAAAAAATATGCAAACTGAGAAACCTGTTTTTCAGAGTAGATAAGGGACACAATGGAATGTTGTAATTTATGAAATTGGTGAATTCTACATATATACTTCTTGACAGTCTAAAGCCACATGAATTAATGTTTGGTAATTTATTTTTGGATTTTTCCCAAATTTAATTCCAAGGTTGCTGCCAGCGTTGTATCATGGAATGTGTAAGAGAATACCCTACAAGAGGAATTAATTTTGAACTGCTTCAAATATACCTTAATGTGACTTAAAATTTTTTTACACAAAAGAGTGTGCACTACTTAACATGCCATCCTGCTGATACAAGTTCATTGCTTGGCACTGAAACGGCTGTTTTGTGTTTGTTAACAAACTTGGAATTTATCCAAATTAAGTAAAAACCCATATTTAATACATTACTTCTGTCACCCGGCCGAGACATTAGCTTACTCCACTTGAAAACCTGGTTTAAGCCCGAGTTACTGCTCAGAATCAACCCAGGATCTAAGTGATGCCATCTCTATGTTCTGACTGCTGTGCCAGCAGGTCATCTCCATGTTTGGCCATATTTCCCAACAGGCAGTTTAAACTATGGTGCAGGTTTCTTAAATTCCCCCACCACTGTCTTTCCAGCAGTATAAATGAGTAAACCGCAGTTTGTCGATCGGCAGGTCGAGTGTGGTGTGGTTATTCCCCCCTTTTGCAAGACATTTGACCAGCGTGGAGTAGGTCTAAATACCCACTCTCTTTAGAGCTCCCCTAAAATAGAGGGCCTTTAGCCAGCAGTGGTGAGCAAGTAATTGCAGAAATGCACATTTACATAAACAATAGTTGTGAATAACAATTGCATGCATTTGGCCTTTGGCCAATTAATATTCAAATGGAATTTAGACACATATTTGGTTCATAAAAAAAAAACAAATGAAAGATCAATATTCATTGACATGTGCCCCAACCAGTACAACTTGATTCAGTGAACACACCTGCTCATATTGTAAAAATTAGCAGTTATAAATAATAGCCGAATATAGAATACATACAATTTGACTATGAAGTGAAACTGGAATATTTCTGTTTCACTGAATAATTACGGTAATTAAAGTGTCAAGGATAAAACAAAGAAATGCCTTTGTAATGACACGCCAAGAGAAGAATAGAACTCCATCAACCATGAGTTAGAATACCTGCAGGGACTTATAGCATCACCTGCTGGTAGCAGAAGGGGACTGACTTTTCAGCCTTACAAAATATACTGACCATAGTCACAACACAAGACCTCCTCAGTCACAACACCTCCTCAGAGGTGACAACCACCGATCTCTTTTATAACAGCTCACAGAGCTTGCATGTCTGTAAAGTTGAGTCTTGTCATACATTTGAGCACTGTTTTCAATTTACAAGCAGTGATTTTGTTTGGCAAGCAATCCCTTGGTGATACAAATGTGAATTAAAACCTACACCTGTTGCAGCCCAAGGTATGCATCATGTTCTGTATAGCGGATTGTCACCTGTCCTGGTTTTTTACAGGACTTGATGAGGTAGTTGTCTTTCTGGGACATTAGAAATCCAGGTTTGTGTCAGTTGTGCAACAAAACACCCATCAAGACAACACATTTCTATGTCGTTCTTCCCTATTTCAGAATTGTGAGATAATATTATCATGGTATGCCCCAGTTTTTAAATAGTTACTTCTGCATATTCATTATAGAGTTGTGAGATGTAGGGAAAAAAGACGTTTCAAACATTCAGTCATATACATAGTCCAACAGCATCGTTGGGTGCAGTGGCACACACTTGATATCTAATAACCTGTAGGAGGGGTTATGCAATTGTAGTGGGTTCCACGGAGGCACACACTTGGTCTGGGAGGCAACACGTTTATTATACGGCCCCAACCGGGCTACTATCAAAGGCAACACTGTTAACTACCCCCAACAGAGTAACTACTAGATAAGACCCCGATTGAAGACCGAAGACCGAAGCGACGTGGCTCGAGGGGATGATTCTAGAAGACAGCCCAGATCGCTCTCGGGACTCGGCTTTTATGCTCCTCAGCATGGCCCCACCCCCGGCCACGCCTCCTTCTGGATCTTACTAGAAGCCCGAGGACCCTATGCCAAGTGTCCCATTACCTCTTCTGTCCGGTCACGTGCCGTCTCGGGTTCACCCAGACTGTTACATCCTTAACCGACCTCTCTCTGTGACCAGAACAATGCCCCCTAGGGTTCCCTTCCATGATATCCACACTCTTGTTCCAGAGAGAGGCTTTGACACGCACAGTTCCACTCTACTCTCAGTGGCTGACGCTACACCACAGTGACTCACTATACGTCACTACACAATCATGCTAAGATTACGTGCACAATATATACCTGAATGACAATAATGCATCTTCGAAAGGCAGTACAGCATGTCGTTTTTTTCCGATGCAAGTTTGAGCGTTTTTCTCTCTTATGTGTGAGCTTTTTTTGGACACTTCTAAAAAATTTCTTGAAAAGAATTGGCCAAAAATACCAAGTGGGTCCCTACTGAAAATGTGTCATGAAGTTGAGTAATGTTTTCCTGGACAAATATAGAATTACAGCGCTACACTTTATATAATTGGTTGCTGTGGAAGTCGAGTTTTGCGGTGGTCCTCAACAATTATATCTTACACGGTATTGCTCATACCTTTAGATGTTGTTTTGAGCAACACAGGTAATTGAAATATATTGATCTATACAATACAGTACTTGAAAAAAAATGGCGATTTTTTTACATCAAAGGAATACTGAAATGTGCTGTGTCTCACTTGCCAATAATAGCTTGCCATGCTGTTGCAATGGATTATTTCCAAGATGCTTGATTTTCATTTTTGGTGTCAGAGGTTACCTTGATGCAGGGATTAATTTCTCATGGAATATTTTCAGTGGCTCCCTACTTGGGTGGGGGTGGGGGGGGCAGATGGGAAAATATTTTTTGAAGTTCATCCCTGGACATCTCTGGCCGAAAAAAACACTGCCTTTATGTAATATGTAATAATAGGGTGCCGCAGTGTAAAGATGTTAACTACCTCGCCTGATATACAGGAGGTCGTGAGTTCGATCTCGACCCTGACGCCTGTATATTTGGAGTTTGCATGTTCTCTCCGTGGTCGTGTGGATTTTTTTCCTGGTCCTCCGGTTTTTCACTGCACGTTTAGAAACATGCGTTTAGAGTATTTGGCTGTTATACATTTCCACATAAGCCACTTCATTGGGCTATATAGCTCAGTGGGCCTTACTTGGTAAAATAATACATAGTGATAATATTAGTAGAAAATGTGTTGTCGAATACCAACTGCAGTGTAAAGTAAATCTTGACTTAAGACCCAAAGAAGGTGTAAAGTAACTTTTGTAGAAATATGGTAACAAAATAATAAATAGTAGCAACATGTAAGCAGGAAGGTAGTCCGTGGACTTCAATATAAAACAATCAACTTCAGAAATGTGTCTCACTGTCAACGAACATGGGGGCTCTTTAGGCATGGATTGAAGCTGTAAGTGTCAAAGCTGTGGCCCTTGAGATCACGCGTGTCTGTTCACATTTATCGCTCTATTCACCAGGGGGTTTCCATGGGAATAAAGTCGTAAATCCTGAATTCACAATGCCATCAAAACCCATAGAATGGGAATTTCCGAAGGGATTCAAACCCCCTTTGTTGAGAGTTTGAATTACAGGATCGCCTGAGCCTGGACAATGCAATCGCAGAAGTACAGTAGAATATGAAATTTTGATATGCATTCACAATGTAAAAATGTTCAAACACAAATGGATGATGCTTTGTTAAAAATGTGATTTGAGGAAACATCAATCAATTTTCTATGTTATCATTATTTATGAAATATGTAACATGAGTAAAGATCGGTAATTTCCGCCCTAATTGCACAGATTAATAACAACTGCTATAAATTGTACGAAAAAAGTTCACTACAATAATCTAGTTGTCCCTTTAAATCACAATAAAAAGTGTCGGCTAGATCAATGAACATGGGATGTTAAAAACACCTTCATGCACAGCCCAGAGTTGGGCTCCAGCATTGTATTGATGGTTAGATGACAGTCATATTCCAAACGAAGTGCACAGGCGAGTTAAAAATAAAACCCCTTACCCCTGCTCCTTTCGCCCATTTCCCCATTGTCTTCCCCTTGCACTCACGCACTTAACTTTTTGCCCCACCTTTAATAAACATGGGGTGGCAAAAACAATTAAACAAACAAATAAGTCAACACTCTGGAGTGACTGGTGAAAATTCCACCTTCTGATGGCGAGGGCCTGTCTATCCACGTTTACTTTGTTGTCATCACTGTGCATTCGTGATGGACTGTACTCACAAGAATGTGCGATAACAACAAGGGTTCAGACTTACACATTGTGACCCAGGGGCGGTTTCTTCATTAGGGCGATTGGGCGACGCACCACCAATGTAATTCAACCACAGAGTCACGCTAGCCGTCACTGTGCCTCTGGATATAGTCCAATCAGCGTCATGTCACGTTCTGTGGAGTACCGCCTCTTTTTGGGCGATTTCACTCCGGCTGAGAATCGCCCCGACCGGGGGGCACTGCAATGCATTCTCTATGGCTTCCGGGAGGGCTCGCCCTAACGTGCTTACGTCATCATACGTGCTTACGTCATCATACGTAAGCACGTTTCATCCAACAATATAATTTGTCGCCACCTAGTGGAATCTTTAAAAGAAACTTGAGTGGATTGTATTAATAGTGAGTATAGAAACAAACAAGATGTATTGTAAGAGTCACTTTATTTTTCATTAATATTAAAGAAGTGAAGTTGCCTTTACATGCTTAAGCTGTTAATTTATCCATTGCATGGGTGGACCTTATCCTTATCAATCATCCAGACATTTGCCCCCCCTGAGAGATTTTGCAGGAGCCGCCACTGTTGTGACCGCTGTTGATTGGCTGAACCAGAATTGAAATGTACACCTCGGATATGCTTCCTCGGAGGTACAAAAAAAAAAAAGAACCCCGGGACATGTCATGAGAAGAATATGTCACGATGTCAGCAGAAGTAAGATTTACAAGCAAATTAATTATCTTGTATGGTGTATTATTATCTGAAATTTTTTTGATGTTCTGGGAAGACTAACCAATTTCCCAGGACAGCTACCTCAAAAAGAACATGATTTTCAGAATCAAGCAGCCGAGAAAAAGTAATAACTGCACGGTCCTTTATTATGACTCTGCGGCAGGCCAGTACCCGAAGCTGGTGTTTCACTTCAAACTGCGGCGTAACATCTTGTATTTCATCCTGGAGACGTACATTCCGTCCGTGCTCCTCGTTGTGCTGTCCTGGGTGTCCTTCTGGATCAGCCAGTCTTCCGTCCCTGCCAGGATCTGTATCGGTGAGTTCTGCAGATCTTTTGTTTTTTTTGTTTAAATTGTTTTCATAAATCACATCTCGATTGTGTTGTCACTATCTGTAACATAGATACACGTTTTTGTTTTGTACAGAACTATCTGCACAGCAGAACATATGCAGAATAATTCCTGAAGTGAACTTGCAGGTTTTCTCCCCCTTAATCCCGGCAAAGTTGATCTTATATACAATTTACAATGTTTTTTTTTTAAGTTGTGCAGTTGATTGATGATGCTTTCATTCTGTGCTTCTCTGCCATACATATGCAAGTTGCATCTTCAGCTTTGAACTGGGCCAAATTAAATGCGAAGGCAGAATTCATGCGATGCCCTCTTGTGCAGTAATATTCCCTCTTAATAATTTAAACAACGTTGGCATTGAATGTAAGCACTTTTGCAAACACACCGATGCACACATATGTATCATACATATTTATGCCCTCAATACACGTGGCTAAAACGCACACAATCGTTACTGATGTATGCAAAAAAATTGCAGTTAATCATGAAGCACTGCGTTTTTATTGCATGTGATTAAACTCGCTGCTTCGCAAAAAAAAAAACATTATAAGTTGAACAATAAATAACTTCACTTCTTTTTGGCTCTCAGCGTAATTCCAACCATGCATCTTTTTATTTTGTGCACTTTTTTGGCGCGAGACAGATGGATTAGAGAACATACCCGGGTTAATGACGCCACTCGAACTACATGTATTAAGAAACGAAAGTGGTCTTGGGCAGGACACTCGTCTCCAGAAGTGATGATTGCCTATGGTTAAGAATAATAATGGGAGTCTCGGCCAAAGAAAGGAATGCATCATAGAGGATGTCCACCGAGAGGAGATTGAGCAGCGAATCTGCGTGCGTGCAGGTGCTCGGTGAATTATTCCATCGCAGGATTCGTGAGACGAGGTTGCGGATTGGGCCGTCATCCAGCAGTAGATTGGCCATGGCCGATGATGATGGTGATACATGCACGAGTAAAAAAATATGGACTAGCACTGCAGACTAATTGGTTGACCGTGTTTAAATTATTTCCACATGACATATCACCTTCTGGGTACCACAGTGCCAGTAGGGGGCAGTACAGCAAGTAGTTTTCTGATGTAAGTGCATCGAAACGTTTTCTTTTGTATTTATGCATAAAGAGGTGGGTTGGAGCTTTTCTGGAAATATCAACTTGATAATGAAAAGTAACATACCAATGACCCCAATGAAGATACGTATAAAAAAGATCTACCACCTGCCATGACTTGGTTTTGAAATACGGTTATGGTTGTAAAATACGGAACAAAAACTGAAAAGTGCCCAAAGAAGTTTGGAGAGATGCGTGCTTAGAATTGCATTGAGAAGCCAAAAAGAGGATTGCATCCATTCGATAGCATATACAGGTTAATGACATAATTCTTCTTTTGTATGGCAAATTACATCATTCAAACTGCCAAGAGAAAGTAAGTGGGCTTGAGCAGGACACAACGCTAGAAAGGATGGTAAAGCATAATGATGGATTGAAGTGGCAACCAACGAATGGAACGCAGCTGGGAGGACGACGAGATGGAGCGCTGATATCAGTTCATTTGCAGGTAATGGTCGATTATTGGATTATTAGATTGTATGCTTATGAAAGGTGACAGCAGCTTGAGAGGTGTTTCATCTGGCAGTGGATTGACCACATGCAAACACCCAGGCAGGACCATCTGAAAAAATAAGTCTTGCGAATCAATTACCTCAATACTGCCCCCGGTGTATCATATTTTCTGAATCTCTCTATATGCAATTAGTTTATAATTGTTAGAACCATATGGACGAGCACATGGCAGTTATACGGTGTGACGGGCGTAAGGAGCAATATCGATTTTGTTTTAATCGCATAGTAAACTCCCGGTTTTAAGAGCTCTGTGGAGTGCACACGCACTCAGGATGATAATCCTGTTTTGCTCCATTGCATTCAACTTGGCTACCCATTTTGACAACACAAAAAAACCTGCTCAGCATAGGATACATTGTATTGCTATTAACTCATAATAGCTGATTAGCAAACAGCACAGAAGTCACGGAAAAAGCGTGTTTGTGTATGAAACATTATATTTACAGTGTACATATAAAAAAAAATCCAATTATTTATTCAGGAAAGCTTCACTGAGTCTCAATACACTTTTTTCAGTGGGATATATTTGGCCAATTCAATGAAAGAGCCTTTCACTTCATGTGGGAGGAAACCAGAGGAAGCCCACCCTGTATACGAGGGGTGATATTCATCATTTCAATATTCCGGCCATTTCGTAGCCCTGTTGCTTCAATACCTGGCAAGCCCTGGTGACTATCCATTCACATACTAACCAGGCTTAAGTCTGTTTGGCTTCTGAGATCTTAACTGATTGGGTGCATTGAGAGTGATTTGGTTCTATGTCTTTGATATGCATTCACAATGTAAAAATGTTCAAACACAAATGGATGTTTTGTTAAAAATGTGATTTGAGGAAACATCAATTTTCTATGTTATCATTATTTATGAAATATTTAACATGAGTAAATATCGGTAATTTCCACCCTGATTGTACAGATTAATAACAACTGCTATAAATTATACGAAAAAAAGGTCACTACAATAATCTAGTTGTCCCTTTAAATCACACAATAAAAAGTGTCGGCCAGATCAATGAACATGGGATGTTAAAAACACCTTCATGCACAGCCCAGAGTTGGGCTCCAGCATTGTATTGATGGTTGCAAATGAAGGTCAAACTTGGAAAATGTATAACGGAAAAACAAAACGACCTTTTATAATCGCATTGTAAACTATGTAATATTATCGGCACCACATTTCACGTATTATATATTGTAGTTCTAAACATAATTGTGAAATCATTTAATTGTTTTCGTGGTGCATTCCATCACGGTGAGGATGTAAATGAATGACACATTGGTCTCTGTGCCGAGAGACCTTGTAGAAAATTGCCATCTCTTAATATTCATGGCAGCGTTATCTAGCAAGTGCATAATATTCTTAACTTATACAATATCCAAATTCTCATTGCAAAAAGGGGTGTGCGATTACGTGGAATTGTAAAGTACCCAAAGGAGTCAAATACTAAATGATCTTGGCCACTTGCATATGTTGCACACTCGAAATGAAGGACGTGGGCAGGTGCTCCAAATCGAGGGCAAGCACATTTATTTATTGTAGTTAATATTAATCTTGTGAAGAACCGCACCGTCACTCTGTAAAATGCAACAGCGCGAGTTACACGCAGCAATTCTTCCGAGACGCCATTAACCATGTGGCTGGTTTACCCGTGCGGTTATTCATTAACCCTCTCTCTTAAACCCAATTCTACTACTTATAAACCATCCTTGTCTTTGACAATCACATTTGCACATCACTATTCGACTATTACTTTAATCCTAAGCTGTATGTCTATCTATACCATCCACTTATATCGGTATATTACACCCATTATATGCACTGTATGTGTACAGTATACGTACTGTATCTCACCATTGTACAGCTTACTACTTTACATGTGTTCTTTTCTCAATAGCATTGCAAGTAGTCATACTCTGGGTACATGGGCATGGTTATAGACTAAACAGTATTAGAGTTAGAGAATTACAATGACAGTAACTAATTACAGTGCGTCATCCCTTTACAATGCACAGTGCTAAAACGCCTCTAATTGCAAATATCACAAACGAACAATTCAAAGCCAAGCTTAAAGTCTAGAACAAGTCTAGAACAAGTCTAGAACATTTATATAACGATCAAAAACAACCTTTGGGTCCTTTATCTGTAAAATGAAACAGCGCGTGTTACACGCAGCAATTCTTCCGAGACGCCATTAACCATGTGGCTGGTTTACACGTGCGGTTATTCATTAACCCTGCCAGCCACCTACAGGCCCGACTCAGTCATCGCATGCTGCTGTACACACATGCGTTGATGCACTGCACAGCACATCAGGACCTTCACAGAACCACACTTTACTCCCTTGCTGCACAAGGATATAATTAAAAGAGTGATCCATTCCTAATGTGCCACACATATGATAATGCTAAAAAACCTAACACGCAAATGTTATTTGTGTTGGTGTTAACTCATCCAAGGCCTAATGAATAGCCAGCAGAGTTGCGAGTTCAAATGATGTTCGGAGAATGTACGCACCTTTTCATTGATTCAATCAGATCAGTACCGCTATGTGGGATGTGAAAGGTGGTCACCTTACGGATTGACCAGCTTCCACCACTGGAACGTGGAACTTTTACCACTAGTTCAGTGCCATGAGCAGAAATCAGTACTTCCCAAGGCTAGTATGAGAATAAAAACATAATAGCCCATGTATGTATGGTTAAATTGAACATACAAATACTACTACTACCTATAAACCTCAGGCATGACAACAACAACATTTTAAATATATACAATGTCTAAATTAAGCCACGTGTGAAGATGCTTTACAACAAAACATACATTTCAATCCAAGCTATGTTGGGAATTGGGGGAGGGAGCGAACCATGAGAGAGAGACTAAACTAAACTATATTTTATTTTACCAGGTAAGCACCACTGAGCTGTATAGCTATTTTTCAGACCCAACCTGGCCACACACGATAGCTTAACGAAGTGCCTTATCATGTGGAAATTTATAGCAACCAAATATTCTAATCGCATGTTGATTCTTAATGTGGAGGGAAAACCCGGAGGACCCGGAGAAAAATCTACACGACCATGGGGAGAACATGCACACTCCAAATATACGGGCATCGTCAGGGTCGGAATCGAACCCACGGCCTCCTGTATACTAGGCGAGGTAGTTGACATCTCGCCACCGAGAGGAGAGGGCAACACCGGCAGCACAGCTCAGTTTGAAGCAACTGGTACCCAGCACCAACGAGCCCCAGACACTCCACATGGGCTCCATGACCAAAGGAGTCCCAGGGAATCCACGGTTTGTCACACATGTATATGCCCTGCATCGAGTGTTCATCACATGGTGATCAAATCCAATTTATGTGATTTCATAGTGCAAAGCTGGAATATGCCAAATATATGTAACGCTATTTGTCCACTATTGGTGACTGGGCTGAGGCCATCAACTCGCCTGCACATGAGGTTAGGTCACATGTGGCTCGAACCCAGATTTGAATCTAAAATCTCAGCGGTGTCAGCTTATTACTCTTGAGATGGCCATAATTGCACTCGTCCACCCTGTTTAACCGAGTGTGTGCTTTTTAGCTGCCTTCATTACACATGTGACCCCAGTATGAATTTACATATTGGTGTAATGTAGTGTAAAAACATCGTTTGACTTTCCACATGGCCATACTCACAAATGCAGAAATGTAGTGCACAACACCTGTGCATGCCTTTTGTTTTTAGTCTGGAAAATGGCCTTCTCACATTCCATTCCACACACTGTGGAGAAAGTAGTGTCAATATTCTTTGGGTCTTTCGGTAACCTCTCTTTCTCCTCGGCACGAATGCAGGCGTCACCACAGTGCTTACCATGACCACGCTAATGATGGGCGCGCGCACCTCCCTGCCCAACGCCAACTGCTTCATCAAGGCCATCGACGTCTACCTGGGCATCTGCTTCAGCTTTATTTTCGGCGCGCTCGTGGAGTACGCCGTGGCGCACTTCCACACGCTCGAGCAGGGACACATCCACGACATCCAACGGGTAAAGCCGGGCCTCGTTCGAATTTCGCGAACAACGAGAAAAGCCCCATCGCAAGCAAGAACGACGAGTGTGCGGGCCCGGGGGGAAATAAAGAGAAATGCAAATCGTATTTAATAACATGTAGGCTTTTGCGACAAATATTATTCATAATATAGGTTTTTGGATTAGATCGCGTAAGTATAAATATGTCGTAACCCTCCACCACCCGACACAGCCAATTAGTAAGGGATTTGTTACGTAAACAAAACGCCAATTAGTGACGACTTCAGCCCACCGGTGTGTTCGAGAGTAAATCCACAACATTTACAATTTGAGTACCGTAACGTTTAGCTGGTAATTACATCCAGCATCATCGGGCGATTTGCCTTGCCTGGCAAATCGCCTAATGATTCACGCCACCAGCTCAAAAGAACTGCCAGTTTTGTCACTTGGAGTTGGTTGTGCAATTGACAGAAATGGCTACACATTAAGTTATTTTGAGCCGGCTGTCTAAATAAGGCTGACAGCTTTTTTATGCGCAACGTGCATCTTTGGGTAGCAGCTCATCCCACACTCGCCACAACCCCACCGTTCACAGGCCTCCAAATATATTTGGTAATGTTTGCAATTGTTTACAGTGACCCACATGCGTGGTTGCTATTTGTTACTCTGCTAGATCCTTGGTTTTTCAGGCCGCTGGGTTATGACCTTTTCCTTCACTGATATCTCCTTGCAGTGGTCTTTCCACTTCTCTCTGTCTGTCGCTGCGGCTTTCGTCAGAGAGGATGAAGAGGAGTCGGTTTTTGTTCCAGATTCCCAGAGCTGAGAATTGTCACATTGTTTGTTAAAAGTCAAAGTTGGCCATTGTTAATCTCGGATAATATAACCTCAATGGGTGTTGGAAATTACAACATTCCCACGGAAGGGACCCATCAGAAAGTAGCAGCTAATGGATGCTGAGGTAATCAAAACTTGATTTGGGGTCAACTGCAGGCAATTTCAATGCAGAAACAATGTCAGCAACTTAGCATAGGGCACAATTCCCCCCCAAGTCGAAGTGCAAGCGATAACCCAGCAGTGTGGTAGGGGGCAGTGTGTATCTTGTATGTGCTGCCGTTTTAAACCAAAGCCCTGTCTATTCTGCAAACAGTACATATCCCATAACAATGGGCTTAGATTGCAACCCCCTTCATCCAGCGGTAGTATATAGCCCCACGACCCTCCAAGATTATGTGTATTTAAATCGGTGAATAGAAATGCTGGTGGACAGTCTCTTCCCTTTTCATACGATTCCAAAGAGCGTGTTATATGTGTGAAATGCAGCGATTAGATCCGGGAAGTACAAGAAAGCGTACGCTACCACCCAAAGCTGTAACAAGCTGTGACACATATAAAACACTGCAAGTCTGCCCTACGTGCTCTGCCGTGTAAGAAATCCTGGCTAAGCCTTTGCCTACGGCATTCTTGACAGAGCTGTGGTGATAGCCTCAGTGTTCAAGCTAAACTGCCAGCACAGGCTACTAAAATCTTTTTCCTAAGCAAGTTTGGACCGCATCAATAGCTCTTTAAATATTAAGCTTCCCTCTTCTCCAGCTGCTTATCTCCACAAAGGGGAAATGTGCTTTTCATTGCTGGCATACATTAACACTGCATGATATCTCTGCTGCTGAAATTGTGCGTGTGTGCAAGTAATAGCATTATTAATAGCGGTATTTTTAAACGATGCATGTGGTAGACATTGGGTGTGGATTATATTTCCTACATCGAACTGATAAAGGTGCAGCCCCACAATGACTTGCTCACACCACTGCTGGTGTTGCTCCAGAGGGGATTTTGCCTCCTCTTGCTGGATAAATATAATGCAGTGTGTAAGTCACATGATGTTTGGGGATGAGCATTAGTTGATTTTTTTAATTCTATTTGCTTGTCGTCTAACCAACGATGCTCGTACATTTGGTACCGGTGATTGTAAACTAGTTAAAAATTCTACACAATGTGAGATTGAATTGCTGTCAATTGAATGCACTTGCGTTTTGTTGAGTCCATCGGTCAGAGGCTACAATGGACTACTATCGGTAACTTACAGAAGTACCATGGTACATGCCACCTGCTGGTGGACACTATAAACTCTCCAAATGGACAAAGTACAGCCATGAGATTGCAATGTAACCCGTAAATAATTGCCGACCCCGTCACAGTTAAAGATTTCAGTGGAAAAATAAACCCTCGTTTCATGTCTTATCATCCAAAGTCTTCCTTAGGGACGTCACTTTATTTTGTGGTGTTTGCTGGTGGCTCACAGTTGAGTGAGGGATTCTATTTTGTCCACATTCCTGTTGTATTTCCTCTTTGGCACTTTAAAGGTCCTGATGCTCCTGTTAACATAATATATAACATATTATGTTTTGAAGTTTTATTGAGAAAAATAAATACTGTGCGGTAGTCCAGTAAATAGGGTTGTGTGTAATTACTGGGTCTAACAAATGTGATGACCAATATATAATTACTGAAATAGATAATGCAAGTAAATTGGAACAAATTAATGGATTATCAACACAAACTCCACTGAATTACATCTATATTCTCTTGAGGCAGGCCCTCGTAGTAGAAATTGTCCCGATTTGAATGCTGTTTAAACCATATTAATGCTCTGAGATCCATTTAGGTCACAAAACCCAACATAGAATATCAAAGAATGTTACACATTGGTATCTTGGCACATTTCAACTACGAGCATTCACCTGCTACCTAAAGTGAAACAACTGGTGAACATTCCATCGTTTTTGTGCTTATGTGTGAGGGGACATTGTTATAGATAACAACTTAGCAACCCAACTACACTTTTATGGCATCGACCTCTGAACATAAAAACACAATGGGCACATAGCTCCTTTTTAAAAATGGATATAAAATAAATAAAAATAAAAATGTCTTGCTCGTCAGCTGGGCATCGCTCGGGCTGTCAGGTGCCATGCAATTTTCTGTCCACCTTCTTGCGAAAAATATTGTTTAGTCCTCAACAGAGAAATCGTCTGTAGAGGACAAAATATTAAGTCAAATATATTGTATTGGTACACCGATCTCATTCACAAATCACGTATTCTCCAGGAAGAAATTAGAACGATGTTAAAATTAAGATCAATTTAGCACATTAGGTATCTTAATCATTCAAGTGTATAATTATAACACGATTAATTCCGTCTGGAAAGTCTCACTGAGTCTCAAGGCTATTGAAGAAGGGTCTTGCTTTCTCATATGTTTGGCAATGTCTCTGAATGTTATTTTTACGTGGCAGAAAACCAGAGTATCAGGAGAAAACCCATTTATATATACGAGGGAACGGCACTCAAAGGTTCACAGTGGTGGGCTCGCAAATTCATTGGCTGTACTGCAATCGCCTGGCCATATCACAGCCCAGTGGGTTTGAAAGTTTCACAAATGTATGCGATCCATCAACCCTTGCCTCCAAAGTGGTATATCGCACTGGTACTTAATGGCTGAACAAGTTAAGCTTCACTTTTATGTCTTTGGCCTTGATAATGCATCGTCAATACAAACCACATTACAGTATATAATGTTCATTCTTCGATGGTTTGCACTTACAGAATGACACGAACTGTGATATTCCTTTGTGATCTGTGTAGTTCCATTGTTGGAATTATTTTAAACTCGGCATCTGATGAAAACAAGTTTAGCTACATTTTCAAATAAAACGCTGTATATCGTATTTAAAATTAGTTTCAAGCCCCGCTGCAGCAAAACGTGTCAATTTCAATACTGCTCCGTAGAAAATACCACTGGAATATAGATGACACACTTATGACATTTAAATTCATGTGGTTGCTCTATGGAGAGACAGCTGCAAATATCAGCCCTGCCCCTGGCTCATTACAGAAGGGGGACAGAATGACTTCGACTTTTTGCAAAACGTGGGGACCAATTTTCAGAGAGCCAATGCACAACGTAATTGAAATATATTTTCAGAAAAGGTTTACATTTTATTCCTGACTATAATTGTTGTTTGCCACTGCATTCTCTGCTGCCTTTAACATGACGAATAATAAGCATCGCTTATGTAAGCCGTTGAATCGGTGTGTCAAAATCACCGCTCTTTTGTCCGTTAGGAGCTGAAGAAGGAGTTCGAAGAGAGCAACGGGATGATGCAGACCCCCGTGACGCGCTGCCCCGCAAAGATGGTGGACAGCTACGACGGAGGCAGCGGCAGTGGGAATGGGCACGGGCACTCCTCGTCTCCCGGACACTCCTCATCTCCTGGGGAACCCAAGCCCAACGGCGCTCCCCAGGGCATCAACGTGGAAGGGAAGAAGCTGAAGGAGCGGCTGGTCTGCATCATGAACTGCTGCACAGTGCAGAACCCACACCACATCGATAACTACTCTCGCAAGGCCTTTCCACTCACCTTCATCGTCATCAACCTTTGCTATTGGATCTACTATCTCTATCTGTAATCCACATGCGTGCGAATGAGTGTGTGTACGTGTGTGTATACCTGTGTGTGTTTGTGGAGCAGTAGCGCAGTGGTTAGTGCACTGTGCTACACACCTAGCGCCTGAGTTCAATTCCTGGTCTTGGAGTGCATTAGCGGTGATTATCTGAATCTGTCCTGGGTCAATTAACCTTAAATGAGTATCTGACACAGTGTGGAAAGATCAGCACTGGGGAGACAAAGGCGGCCATGCATGGTGTTGGCTCATGAACCTGCTGATTTGACTGTGTAACAATTGTTTTTTTGTTCCTGGGTAGTAAGTGTTATTTCCTAATTGCTTATGCCTCAAAAGTATAGAAAATTGGTATTATTCCGCACGAACTTTGCTTTTGTGACCAGGACAGTGATACTTTGAAATTTACCTATTTTCCAGAACATTCCAGATCGATTAAGTGCTTCGTAAACTTGGAGTAACTTCTAGAATATTCTAGAACTTTCCAGTAAAAAGAATAGTAGTATAAATACAGGGACATTAAGCCCACCAGTTCAGTTTAGTTCCAGCTGCCTGAGTGGATACATATCTGGATTATTCTGAGATGGCATCAAGAGGCTGCAAGCATCCGGCAGACGCATTTTGCTCTGTCTGCGACCAATTTATCAAGACAAGAGTGAAAAAGTACTCTGTGGAAGCATCTGCTAAGATGTGTGAGGCCGACAAGGCATATTTCGGCATGCCTGTCGGGGATCAAGACAAACCCTGGGCACCTAATTTCAATTGCGAGCAATGCAAAAAACTCTGGAAGGCAAGATGGACAATTGTTCCTTTGAATTTTATCTTATAAAATTTGTAAAATTGTAAAAGTTTTTAATTTTAAAATATTTTACAATTTTCAGTGTTATTGAAAAAATATATCAAGTGTGAAAAATGTTGCGGGAATCTCTTAGACATTAGTCATGGGTGAAATAAATGTATTTTTGTAGGATGGTACAGAGGGGAAAAGAAAGCCATGAAGTTCGCTATCCCAAGAATTTGGCAGGAACCCACTGACCACTCAAGCAACTGCTACTTCTGCATGGTGGACCCTTCCAAATGTTGGACTGGCAAGAATGCACCTGCTATCACGTATCCGGTCTGTTCGAGGCAATCGCAATCGCCTGTAACCAGAATGAGTGGCGCCTCTTCATTGACAGCTCATCCAGGAGCCTCAAAGCCGTGCTGCTCATTCGATGCACCTCAAAGAGGATTACAACAGCATCAAGACCTTGCTGGACGCCTTTAAGTATGATGAGTACGACTGGGAGGTCATCGGATACTTCAAAATGGTGGCATTCCTGATGGGTCTCCAAGGCGGTTTCATCAAGTTTCCCTGTTATCTTTGCCTTTGGGATAGCACCAAGGCGTACTACCACAGGCGGGACTGGCCACAGCGGACCGAGTTCTCTGTGGGGAGGAACAATGTCAAGTAAGAGCCACTGGTGGACCCCCGGAAGGTGCCGATGCCACCACTGCACATCAAATTGGGCCTTATGAAACAATTTGTCAGAGCTGTAGATAAGGAGTCGGCAGCCTTCAAGTACCTTCAAGACTTCTTCGCCAAGCTGTCTGAGGCAAAGTTCAAAGCCGGTGTCTTCGTCGGACCACAGATAAAGAAGATCCTGGAGTGCGATGAATTCCCCAAGAAGTTCACTAGTAAGGAGAAAGTGGCTTAGCACAGCTTTGTCGCAGTGGTTCATGGCTTCCTGAGCAATCACAAGGTCGAAAACTATGTGGAGCTGGTTGAGACTCTGGTGAAGAACTACGGCAAAATTGGCTGTAGGATATCCCTCAAAGTCCATATCCTTGATGCTCATCTTGATAAATTCAAGGAGAACATGGGAGCGTACTTGGAGGAGCAAAGCGAGCGCTTCCACCATGATATACTGGACTTTGAATGCCGCTACCAAGGACAGTATAACGAGAACATGATGGGAGACTACATTTGGGGGCTGATTTGTGAAAGTGATTTACAGTATAATCGTAAATCTTGAAAAACTACTCACTTCTTAATCTTTTGTACTCATTTTTGTATTATTTTAGTGCAAATACAAGTACATTTTGATTCATATGTGTTTTTTCTGACTTTATGTGAACAAAAAGACACAAATTCGGCCGTGTTCTCATTGAAAATAGGTAAATTTCTAAATATCACTGTCCTGGTCACAAAAGCAAAGTTTGTGGGAAATAATAGCCATTTCTATATACTTTTTAGGCATAAGCAATTACGAAATAACACTTACTACCCAGGAACAAAAAAGCAATTGTTACATAGTGTTTTCATCGGTTATTGCTAACAGCACTTGCCCCAATGGGCCTTTGTAGGCTATGGGTTATCTGTCTTTTTTGTGTGCACGTGTCTAACAGAAAGAGTGACATCATTATGAGGATTCTGCTCCACAATGCCAGCAAGATTATTGTTGGATACCTGCCTGTGCACAATGTCAATGTCAATTTGGGTCTGTATATGGCCGTGAGCTTCTCCGAAGTAAACTAGGTGGAAAATTACTTCCTGGAATAAAGGGGTCAATACCGGAGTTGGAGACACAAACGCAGGTTGGGGGTTAATGCTGGCTGCACTATCCCGCTGTGTGTGCTCTGTTTTGGCCTTCACAGCACTTGCCCGAGGCACGCTAACAGGGGAATTAGTATGTCTGTTTACGTCTGCGTGAGTAAACAGCCACTGGCTGTGCGTCATAACGACCAGGGTAGATCAGTAAAGCAATCAGATAGCTCAGAGTTTGCAAAGAAAGCAGTGTAAAGTCAATGTGTTGGGAATACTAACACAGGCAGTTAAGAATTACAACAGATGTCAGTCAAAATATTGCAACACCTGCAGCATTATTCTCACACTATTATTTTACAAGATGTTGTTTGCACATATAATTTAATGGCATAGCTATATTCATTTAAACATCCTGTTAAACTGGCCACAGATACACAGTTCTTTTCATCGCCTTTGGATTAAAGCATCTGCCTAGGGCTGGGATAACTTTACCCTATTCTATATACTGTAAATGACAAAACCAATAAAGCAGACATTTGATGCATACAATTTCTGCTCATTGCAGTGTCCTTTATTTCACCAGACTTGGGCCAATTGAGATGAATGATCCCATTTTTTTTATTCTATCTGGGAAAATACAGCATTAAAATCCAGCTGCTTGATTATCTTGCGTAATCAAACATTGTCAATATATTTGTATACAAATCCCTGTGTACACCGTAAGCAAGACAATTATGGTACATGATCATAAAATAGTAAATCCATATAAACACCTTTTCATAATTTCGGTAAATGATGGAAAACTCACCAGACAGAAAAGTGCGTAAAAATAAACAATAAATATTTGTCATTATTCAAATTCAGACAACATGAATTTGCATTGTGAGTTAAGTCTAATTCAGCTAACATTTATGTGGATCTATTGTAATATTGGCGGAATTGTTTTAATCTTGATGGTTCAAAACAAGGCTGTTGTGCATTATACTATACATGCAGTATGGTGATGTCATGTGGCATGCAAGGCATGCTGGCTGAGTTTATGGCCACGAACAGATTTTGATGTCTAGATACCACTATTTGTGTGCATTGTTACACTTTTAGAAATACAATAATAATGTGTGCCACATTGGGATGACATTGGTAAGTGCTCATGCAGCATTCAAAAAACCTTTATGAACTCAAGGTGAAACTGTGATCCACTATAATGGACAAATGCTTTCTTTATCAATGAACTAATAATGAATGTGCAATACAAGGTGAGATATGTGCATTATGAAAACAACAGTATTGACTCGGTTTGTTTGAAAGACTAATTAGAAAATAAATATACACAAAACATACCCATAGGCCAAGGCCAATCTGGTTGAGCAAGTAGCTCTTAATATAATTCAGGCAACAGATGAAATTTGCATCGCGAGCTGAGTCTGATTCGGAGAGCAATTATTTATTTACATGGCTCCATTCTATCCAGGAGGTGGACTCAGCCTGTGATTTATAGCACACTATTGTGCCCTGGTAATATGCACAAATGTCATCTTGTGCCTACGTAGGATTTGTGTTTTTTTATTTTCCTCGGGACACATTGATTAATTTGAATGCATCCGTATGCATCCGTACGGTTCACTGCAGAACCTTGGCTGCGCGGTGCCACCTTGGTTGAATAAAGCCACGTTGGCAGGTTTATAATGAGTAAATTGTTGTGTACGACCGTAATGCGCGAAACCACTGTGCTACAGCTGCCAGCATGTTGGAATGGGATATAATTAAATACCACATGATGAGCTGCAGAATGTGCTATTAATTGCCTCTTGGAAGGAATGAGTAGTCACCTTAAAATTTATTTATAAACTGCCCCAAAGCACGGATTAGTATAAATGTTTCCATTTAATTGCAAGATCGTGAAAAGCTTTCGGTGTACTGTCTAAAACACATTGTGAAACTTTTGGAAACGTTATTTTTTTTCAGTACTATATTTTTTTGCCTGAAATAGTCTATATGTTGGAAATGTACAATTATGGAAGAATAAGAAAACAGAATACCATGAATATTTTCAAACGTACATTTTGCAATAATTAATATTAATGTAATCTTTAATTATTTAGCGATATTAAAGCATTTTTAAAACCGCTGGTTGACATTTGGTATGGGAACTAACTTGATATCCATATATATTAATGATATTCATACTGTGTGTAATAATATTGTATATGTATTTATAGTATTATGGATATTCATATAATTAATATTCACGTGGATCGTATTAATTAATTTATATAAAATGTGTACTCATTATGTGAAGTTGATGCACAAATTGTACTGTACATGATATTGATTGGATTATCACTTGCATTTCATTCAATATAAAATCCAATGTCTGGGGGTAGAGCTGGCTTTAAACAGAATATATTTTAAATGCCAATGTATAGCCCTGGAGTTCATCTCAGAAGAAAGCGTGTCAGTGTCAACATCTATGGAGAGATGTCCGCCGGTTCCTTTATAATGTGGAAGTTTTTATTTTGCCAGTGACAAGAATTGTTTTCGAACACCCGAGAAAGTAAAAAAAATGCACAATGAAATTCCAGACTTAGTGTATTCCCAACCAGTACAGTTACCACCGAATCATCAGTGATTTATTTTGAAAAAGCAAATTTCTTCTGCTGACATTGCATTACATTTGACACTGATTGTCTAGAGACAGGCAAGTTGTCACTAATGAGCATCTAGCAACGAGAAATATTGAAAAGGACTGACCCCTATAACGTGCATGATACTTAGCCCTGTTTTAAAATGCTCATCTCAAGCCAAGCGAAAACCATTTATACTACAGCAGTAGATGCTATTCCATGTGACTGGAAATCATTGGGTAAGACGCTCGTGCTTGATGGAAGATCGCGGGTCACTGAGACAGGTGCTGCAGTGGACAACCAGAGGTTAGTGATTTTTATCGCCAACCTCTGGTGGCGATGGGGATACTGCCAGATGGTGGGATACCGCAAGAGCAGACTTTGAAGATAGTCCATAATAGAGGTTTTTGTGTTAGATCGCGTAAATATAAATGTGTCGTTAAACCCGCCACTACCCGACACAGCCAATTATTAAGGTTTTTCACGTAAACAAAACATGCCAATTCTTTAATAGTTCAGCACACCGGTGTGTTGGAGAGTAAACCCACAACATTTACAATTCGAGTACGACGTTTCGTCAGTAATTACAACAAGCTTCATCAGGCGGCCAGATAGAGTTGACACTATCAGGTGATCGTGTCAACTGTGCAGCAGTTGCAGGATCTGTCAGACAGAAGTGATGGCAAAGATGCGGTGGCATCAGTGACATTGAACTCTTAATCTTGAACGGAAGGCGAGTTTATGGAGCATTCCTTGCCTGCACAATGATACTCGTGTTTAAGTTATTCGGGATAAGAAATGTCTTACTTTTTTTAGTGCCACACAATTACTATACGTTTTGCTACTGAAATAATCCAAAGTAGTATAGCTCAAGAGTGAGCAACGGAGAGGCTATAGTTGTTATTAATGCTGTGTTCCTTTTCAGAACTCATATGTGAACTTTGGAAGGGATTAGTTGCTTTGCCAGGGCTCTGAATTGGGTATTTTGGGAGTTTTTGCATCCAACTTCAAGGTTGACAACCAATATTACTGCGATAAGATGCCAGTTGAGCATGTGGCCACAGTATTTAACAGAGGTGTGGACTCGAGTCATGTGACTTGGACTCGAGTCAGACTCGAGTCATGAATTTGATGACTTCAGACTCGACTTGGACTTGCATAACAATGACTTTGTCCCACCTCTGAGGTGTGGACTCGAGTCATGTGACTTGGACTCGAGTCAGACTCGAGTCATGAATTTGATGACTTCAGACTCGACTTGGACTTGCATAACAATGACTTTGTCCCACCTCTGGTATTTAATGCAGCTTTTCAATATGTATGTTAAAATTTGCGATAGTCTAGTGTTTTGTAATGTTTCTTATATGTGTAGTTATTTCTTAATGCCTAACTTTTAATATGTATTAATAATCAGATAATGTTGTGGGCACATTATAAATCAAGAAAAACGTGTGTAACTGTTAGGCGTTATTTACAAATCACATCCAAAATGTGCGATTATGCCATATTCTAGGAATTATTTAAACTGATTAAAAATGTAACACTGTAGTATACAAAAGTATATCGAGTGGTGAACTTCCTGTCAAATATTCTGCGTGCACAGTATTGTCATATTTTTATGTAACCGATGACCTGCTTTTTGTTGCAGAGTATGACCTTTGTTTAACGCTGTGAGCTCACACATTGTCACCAGTAGTCAATAACAATTCAGTCTTGCTAGTCTCTCACTGTATACTTCAATGCCATGTTCGCAACACCACTTCAATGAACGTACAATTTTGTGACTGTCCTTTCGGTCATCGTGCTGCCCGACATACTTGAGAAAAGCTTCGCACAGGATTTAGTATTCAAATTAAAAGACGGTCGTCATTGGATCAACCCCCTCTGTGATCAGAACACTTTCATAAGCTAACCAATACTACAGTGGTTTGATTCCACAACTTGGCACGCAATTAAAAGGAAAGGATACTGGCTGTTTGCCTGAAGCTCCTTGCAGGAGTTAAAAGCTGGGGTGAGCCTTTGGTGTAGACACCTGCAGTGGATGATTCATCACCGAGGGAAGAAACTTTTTATAGAAGCCTGTTTCCTGGAGTTGCTGGCTCAATGACACTTAAACCTTGTGCATGTGTGCAAACTTCACTTGAATGTTTGCCAATGTGTACCATCCTGTCTATACTATTAGCTTGGATTTCAGATAAATCTGGCCCACGTCAAAAAGTTCTGCTTTCATAATCTCAGTGCCGCTTAAAAATATAAGGGATGTGACATATTCAAGGCCGCATTTTGACCAACAGTTCAACTCTTTGAAGCAACACAGCAGTGCCAACATGTGCCACATGTATGGATAATGCCCCAAAGTGTGTCTCTGGTGGGTGAGTTGTGTTTTGGAGTGCTAGCTGTTTTACTTTGAGAGAGGATGCAGGGTTTTCACTCGACGCATGATTCTATATGTGATGTGCACCTAAATGCTTGCTTTGGCTAGCATGGAAGAGTAGGCCAAAAGCCCTCTAGAGGAGCTGTCGAGAGCTTCCCGTCATGGAGGCCCTTCCATCAGAAATTGCAGGGATGCACCTTTACACGAATATGTTGACTGCAAAATTGTTTTGGCAAAATACAGCAACGTTATTGTATTTGAATGTTCAGTTGATGTATGTCTCTCACTTTATGTGCATCCCAAAATAAGATTTAAATGTTTATTGTTTGTGTGTGTGCCAACGTGTGTGTATATGAGAGAGAAAGATGCCACTTGTGATTAATGTTGAACATTTAATTCCAGCAACTCAGTCACCTGAAAGCTTTTTTGGTACAGCAACTTTAAAACAAATATCAATGTTGTCTTTCAATGCAAGCTGTTTTTAATCAGTATATAAACATACGGTGATGTATTTACATTTTGCGTAAAATGTGTTTATACTGACAAAGAAATGTATGTATTGTATGTTGAAATTATATCGCACCGTACGTAGCCAACTGTGCTAATAGGACGTGCGGGCAAGGACAACAACACAACAAAAATCAGACACTCTGACCTAGGTAACACTAATAAGACCTGTACAAGTAACGATATTCCTTTACAATGTAACTCGGTTAAAAAAATAGTAAATTATTTAAAATGAAACGCCTCACTGTCTGGCGTGTAGACACAAACACATGTTGTGGATATGCTTGTCTTCGGAGTGCAACAATCTGTGCCAGAGGTGATGTAAGAAATCATATTTGTTCAGTGTTGAGTTTAGTGCGTCCGTGTCACCTTTTTTGCTGGCTAAAGGCAATGGCAGTTTCCAGTATGTAGCATTTATTTATTTCGAGAATGAGGTTATAAGTGTATATGAAAGCCTCGTAACCTACCTTGACATTGTTGATCATTTATAAACTACAAAACATCACCACGCTGTATGGGTAGTGCAATGTCTCGATGGCCATGTCGATACAACAGATATTGAAAAAGGTAGCACATTACTATATTGTATTTGCAATCAAGATATTCTACGCTCAAGTTCAGTCGACTGTACTGTATGTTACTGGTAGGAACCTCCTGGTTACACCAGCCCACAGGGGATTATTGTGTCCGTCCGTCCGTCGTGCAGGGAGGGGCTGGGTGGGGAGAGGAGGGTGGGGAGGGGCTGGGTGGGGCTGGGTGGGGATTGGAGGGTGGGGAGGGGCTGGGTGGGAGGGTGGGGCTGGGTGGGGGGTGGGAGGGGTGGGGCTGGGTGGGGAGGGGCTGGTCACCCCGTGGTGCCCTTATAAAACTCACGCCGGCTTGTGCCCGCCCTCACAGTCGGGCATATTTGTGGAATACACCACGCCGCCGTTGACCCTGACCATTGACCGAGCAACCCAACGTTCCTACCAGCTCCCTCCGCAGGAATGGGTTATAGCCCTCCGACTTCTTTTAGATGTGTGCTGCTGTGTTGCTTCACACGATGTCGCTTTGCTGAATATTGAGCTGCTGCAGAAGCTCCCCGACTGTTCAGTGAAACGTCGGACACGAGGCCAAAGAACACGTGACACAATCTGAATACGCATCGGAGAGCACGACAGTGAAGATCTAAACTTAGATATTACAAATTGGGGAGAAAAATAATACTCCCAGAATTCACTTTACGTTGTTGTGTAGCAGGCCATTCATTTTAGCTCAAATGTATGTATTAGCTGGTGCAAATTTAACAATGTAGTGATATTGCTGTAACTCCTTTTTAATATTACGTGCAATGAAATTTGTTTATAATCAGCCACGACAGCTTTTTTGTTTGGTCGGTTATGATGCTGACTAAATGGCATAACTGCCAACACTGCGACCAATGAAATGAAATCCAATCGTTTGTAAGTGTAATTTAATTATGGTTGTTGTAAATGTAGCCTTCATAGCTTGCATCCTTTGAACAACTGAAGCATTGTATGAGTAAGCTGAGTTATTTGCCTTTCACAAAGCAATTTTACGCAAAATCACGCTCTGCAACATCCGCATGCCAGAAGCAGAACCAGATGGGACTGGACAATGTCTGTATATTTTACAATAAATCAACATTTATGTTATTGTCCTGCATCTGCACATTATATGACCTGCATATGCTAGGATATAAAAAAATACATTTTCTTTTTCACGTGCACTTCATAGACCCTTATGCCCCTGCCATTGTCTCCCTCCTGTACCCCCACATTTTTTGCCTCAATCGGGACAAGTGTGACTTCACAATACCCACGTTCTGTGCATCCCGCGTGTCATTTTACCAAGAGATTCCAAATGTGAAACGAGATTCCACATGTGTATTCTTCTTCTGATTTCATTGATTAACACTTGTGCGGATGGGATAATTTCATGGACCAGCTGTGCTATTTAAAGTAGAGGGCTAAAAGCCAGCAATTTAATTGTACGAAGCTTCTGTAGAAAGCAGTACATTTCATTGGAAGAGTACACTAATGGGGCCTCCTCGAGTGGCGCACAAGGGTGGTCTACGATCTCTCTGTGGTCATTCAGTGACGGAGAGCCAAGGTCTAAGGGTTGGTGGCTGCCGATATTATTTATTTGAGGTTTACTAATTTGCGTAGACGGTCGCGTCTAAAACACGTGATCAAGGAGTGAACGCACTCTTTCTTAAAAGTGTCACGTGATGGCTTGCCTCAATCGTGACGTGAAGTTCAAATTGAAGATAAGCAAGCAAGCCGAGCAGACTTTGTATGGTCGCAGAGGTGCCGGGTCCTTTTGAGCAAATGCATTCGCCGGGACAGGGGTGTTGTATCAGTTCTCAATAATAGCTTATCAACAAGAGATATTCCAAAGAGCATTTCCGTACATCCGTCGTACAGTTTGTGATGTGGCTGATATGCACGCATGGTACAGATGCACGGGATTGTTGGCATGTAGAGCTTTAATTAGAGTTTCCGCCATGCAATCTAAATAATGTTTTATTTAAATGGAAATACAATTGTTCTACAATAAACATAACAGTGGCTTGAGCTTGGGGTTATGAATCAACGTGTTTTATAGCTTCTAAGCATATTCCTTGCATGAAATTCTGCTCATGCATGCGTTGTACAATACCACTCACGTAAATAACGTGTGTCTTCACAGCTGTTATTTACGTATTTTTTAATTGGAAGTTATTACAAAGATTATGGGTAATAGGCCTCTCTACCTAAATTGAACTTTTAATTTTCACGAATGAATGCTGCATGTATTGCATATTATGTGATATACTCATGAATGTTGAGTTCAGCATCTGCACGCCTACTGAAAAGGAGATGACATAACGATCAACGTTTGTCCTGTGCCCTGGTATTTTCAAGGATCTGGACTCTATACTGCACCCATTATAGGCTATTTACAAGGTGAATTTAGAGGGATAGTCTTGCCAGCCAATAAAATATGCAGCCCTTTTCATTGAGAGAATCCCATGATAATTCAGAGGCATGACTCAATGAGCACTATACTTACCAAATATTATTTCATGGAAGTCTCTAAAAAGGCTGTATATTTTATAATCATGATACAAAGCTAAATATTAGCATTTATAGGGTCCGTAAATGCATCAATAACTGAAAGCAGAAAGCCCGAGGCATGCAAAAACCAAACAGCTCTATCAGACCATGTATTCGCCATTCAAATGTAAACTCGGTATCTGCGGATGCATTGCAAGGAGGCTGTCCATTGTCATATAGGATGGTGATCCAAAATGTATCTGTGCAGTAGAACTGCGTGATCACAAATTAACAATAATTTCTGAAATGAAGACCAATTTGACATCCATTCTAAACTCGGGATATGTTCTGAGTAAAGCTGGGGTATACGATAGCCTAAATCGTCGATCGCGCTCTCGATTATCGGTCGGGTTACTTGACTCATTGGATAACACAGTCGTAGTTGGATAGAAAGAGTTTCCCATCTCTTTTCCACGTGTGCCGCTGGACACATGGACATTTAAGACGTCATAGGCGTTTCATGTTGAGCGTGACTTGTACGGGCAGTTGTAATTTTTAAAGGGGGTTATAATGGAATAATCGACCACAAAAAACAATGTTGGATTATCCATAATCGAGGTTTTTGGGTTAGATAGCGTAAATACAAATGAGTCGTTAAAAATATTGAATTACAACTTTTAGTCGATTGATTTGACTTAAGCACCAATCGCCCCAGCTGTAGTTTTGAGAAACAATATTAATTTCGTTTGGCTGTACGTATATAACACTTAGCACACGGATTATTTACATTGCCAGTTCATCCAGAGTGAGGGGGCTGTTTGGATGCAATGTGCAGAGAGCTTTCCATCACCCTGCACGATTAAACCCACGCATACGTGCAAGGTGACACTTGTGCATTGAATGGTCGTATTAATTGGCAAACTAGAAAGTTCAGATTGCAGTCTGAAACATGAATGTGCAGGTGGAAAGTTTTTTTTTTAATGACAATTTGATTATATGTTGATATTTATTTACCAAATACTGTATTGTACTGCAATTTTTCGAAATGTACAGTATAATGGGATCAGTAATGAGGTTATTTTGTAATAACTTACTTAAACACACTACTGTGTGCTGTACATAAAGATTTTATAGGCTCATATAAACTTAGTACTTGCATGGTTAGTGAAAAATACATGTTTTAAAATGTAGTAAATCTTCATACTATAACTCTACCTTGGAATGCAATTGTGTTTTCTTTTGCTTTCATATTGTTGGTGTCCGGGTCCAGGAACCTATAATTGTTTTTTTGTGGCTGTTAAGTTTAGAATTGTGCTCATATTGCCACTGTAATAATGCATACTTTTTCAAGCATATTTAATAAATTTTGGGGTATTATGAATTCAACTCCTGCAATTAATGCACATACTATGGTCAATAAATGTACTGAAACTTGCTATTAAAGGTGTGACTTTGTACTGACTCTTAGGTAATTAGACGCCCACAATACAAAATGCTTTTGTTTAATGCTGAACATGCTGATCTCATTGCATTGTGAAAATTGTCATTCGAGTAGTTTTATTATACATTGACCACACACAGCAGAATTTAATTATGGAAGCCATAGCTGTCTAACAACTTGTCTATTTGGTTAACTTTACTGTAGATATATTTAAATTCTAATTATGACCCCCATCTGGTTTGTTCATGTGATCACAGCATGCTTTCTTACGTTTTCAGATTGCAGACCACACATTTTACTGTTATTGTCCAGAGTATTTTTTTTGCATTGTGTAGATTTTCTTTATAAAAACTAATCTTATACTACTTTAGGCTTATTCATTTCCAGTGAGTTTTGATCTTGCTTTTTTAGGTTTATATTGATTGTCTAAAAGTTTCCAGAAGCCACTTTATAACACGTCTTCAATGGTGGTGGGAAAACGTATACTGATGATTCTAAGCGCGTTACCACAAGGTAATTATTATACTACACAAATGTAACATGTTTTGTGTGAAAATTAAAGATTAATTAATTTGCTCGTGTTGTGGTTTGCGTGTATTCCTACACCGTTTAAACGATTGTTTTGCCCTTTTTTGGTCCCAATTATTGTTAAGGACAAATTAGGTGGAGCCGTGACAGAGTGGTTAGCAGCTCGGGTGCTGCACTAAGAACCCACCTTGCCTGAGTTTGATTCCTGGCCATTGCTAACATCAGTGGCAAGTGATACTAGAACTGGTCCTGCCCTCTGCCTTCATCAATTCGCACTGACCAGCGTGCTGATGTATGATTAAAAGTGTCTTGTGGCTCGCGTGGTATGGAGAGGTCTTCTTCGTACATTGATGGATTGATAATGGCTCCAATTTTAATTTTAAAGACAAAGAGTTTTATGCCATAATCTCTCAAATAGCAGTGCTACTGGACGCATTACAAAAGTAACCCAAAGACAACGAAGCTGAATGCTTCTTTTTTACATGCTGATATTCTCAGACCGTGTTCGCGAACACAAGGCAGATCTGAAATACGGTAGGACCAACACCTCTGCCATGGCTGATCATTGTTTTAACGCTGTGGGTACACATGAAATTGATTTCTCTAAGACGAAGGTACTCTGCAAACCTACTGGCTATCAACAAAGATTCGTTCATGAAGCCATCCAGATGTAAAAACACAGACAAAATTTCAAC